TCCCCCAACTACTTTATGGGCCTCTTTCATCAAACCAGAATCATCTCTCAGTTTCCGGCCTGGAAAGCTTGGCATCATTTTTCAGTCTCCAACTTCCTCCCTCTTCCACTGACTCATGACAAAGTGCCATGATTTCAACTTTCTTTTCTAAATGTCTCCTGGACACATCACTTCCTTTCTGTTTCCATTGCCACGTCCTTCATCCGGGCCCCTGTGATCTCAGCCTTGAACCACTCCAGTAACACCCCCATTCTTCCCTCAGCTCCATGCTCCCGTGCTGAGATGTGATTTGACTCACAGGTTTTCTTCCTAAGATGCTCATTCAGAATCTCTCTCTTCTGCTCTCTGACATGGTGGGGAACCCCTTTGCTCCCCAGGTCAAGTCCAGGCTTTTCCAAATGATTTTCAAGATCCTTACCAATCTGGCTATACCTAACTTTTAGTCTTCTAATCTCTAAGGAGCACAGCCTGGATCAATAGCTGTTGAGAGACATCTGCCTGCTGTGGTTTTGGTATAAGGATGGACCAACAGACTGATGGAATAGAAGAGTGAGCCCAGAGATAGATCCATGCATATATAAAGTCTGATTTATGACATGGGAGACATTGCACAGGAGTGGGAAGGGAATAGTCTTCTCAATCAATTGCACGAACAGTAGGGTACCCATAAGGATAGAAAATGAAAGAGGACTCCTACTTCACATGACACACAAAAATCAAGTCTAGGTAGATTAAGGACTTAAATGTGAAAGGTCAAAATATAAAGCTTTCAGAAGATCATAAAGAAGACTATCTACATGACCTAAGGGTAGAGAAAAATTTCTTAAACATGGCATGAGAGACACTGGGCATCAGGAAAAGATGGACAAGCTGGTCTACATTAAAATGAAGAATTCATATTTTTCAGAAGATAGTATGAAGAGAGTGAAAAAGCAAGCCACAGATTAGGAAAAGGTATCTGGAACACATAAAACAGACAAAGGGCTTATATCCAGAATATATTTTTTAAAGTCCTACAAGTTATTAGGAAAAAGACAGATGACCTAATAGAAAAATTGGCAAAAGAACTGACAGGTAATTTACAACCAGGAAATACAAATGGTTAATAAATGTGTGAAATGGTGCTTGATTTCCTAGAAATGAGGGAAATGCAGATGAAAATCACAATGAGATCCACTACTTATCCACCAGAATGGCAAAAATTAACAAGCGTTGGTGAGGATGTGGACCCCTGGAACTCTCTAGGGGGAGTGTAAAATGGACGAGCACTTTGGAAAAGTTTGTATTATCTAATAAAGTTGAAGATAGCCACACCTAATGACCCAGCAATTCCACTTCTAGTTATATACACTAGGGAAATGAATACACATGTGCATCAGGAAACATGGACAATGATGCTCACAATATCCAAACCCTGGAACCACCCAGCTGTCCATTGCCGTAGAATGGGTAAAGAGAATATGGTCATTCATACAAAAAGTATACTATGAAAATGAATATGGAGGAATTGCAAAAGCACAATATTAAGTGAAAGAGGTCACGTAAAAAAGAATATGCATGAAGCATAGAAGTTTACACACCCATACACACAAATGCATAGTGAAATCTGAATAGAGTCAGTGGATGTACCAATGCGAATGTTCTGGTTGTGATATTATACTATAGTTATGCAAGACGGTACTATTGGGTGAACCTAGGTGAAGGGTGCATGGGACCTCCCTATACTGTTTTTGCAACTGTGAACCTATAATTATTTCAAAATAAAAAGTTTTAAAATATGAATTAAAAAAGAATACGTATGGTATTATTCTATTTATATAAACCTCAAAATAGGCAAAAATAATCCATGGTGTTGCGGGATGCGCCCTTAGGTGGCAAAGTATAAAGAGCAGCAAGGGAGTGATGACCACAAAAGTCTGGGATGTGAATGAGGTTCGTGTTGTGACGAGAAGGGCACGCGGGGGGCTTCTGGGGAGCTGGCAATGTTTTATGTCTTGATCTGGGTGATGGCTACACAAGTGTTGACAACTTGTTAAGCTGTACATTTATGTCTTAAGCGCTTTCCTTTGTATGCTATATTACACAACAAAAAAGGCTTAATTAAAGCCATCTATGTGAAGGCTCCTTACGGATCGTTTTAAACAGTTAAAGTTGTCCCCATTAAGGGAGAGGATAGTCTCTTCAATAAATAGTGTTAGGAAAACTGGATATCCAAATGAAAAGGAATGAAACTGGATCCCTATCTTACATCATACACAAAAATCATCTCAAAATGGATTAAAGACTTGAACATAAGACCTGAAACCATAAAACATCTAGAAGATAACATAGGGGGTAACCTCCTCGACGTTGGCCTTGGCAATGTTCTTTTGGATTTGACACCAAAAGCAAAAGCAACAAAAGCAAAAATAAACAAGTGGGTCTACATTAAACTAAAAAGCTTCTACATAGCAAAGAAAACCATCAACAAAATGCAAAGGCAACCTATGAAATGGGAGAAAATATTTGCAAACCACATATCCAATAAGGCGTTACTATCCAAAATATGCAAGGAACTCACACAACTCAATAGTAAAAAAACCAAATAACTTAAAAAATGGGCAAAGGACCTGAATAGACATTTTTCCAAAGAAGACGTACAAATGGCCAACAAGTATATGAAAAGATGTTCAACATCACTAATCATCAGGGAAATGCAAATAAAAACCACAATGAGATATCACTTCACACCTGTTAAAATGTCTGTTATAAAAAAGACAAGAGATAATGTGTCCTCGAGGATGTGGAGAAAAGGGGACTCTTGCGCACTGTTGGTGGAGATGTAAATTGGTGCAGCCACTCTGGAAAACAGTATGGAGGTTCCTCAAAAAGTTAAAAATAGACCTACCATTTGATTTGGCAGTCCCAGTTTTGGGTATATATCCAAAAAAAAATGAAATCAGGATCTTGAAGAGATATCTGTGCTTCTATGTTCATTGCAGCCTGATTCACAGTACCCAAGGTATGGAAACAATCTAAGTGTCCGCTGACAGATGGATGGATAAAGAGGATGTGCGATGGATCCATCTATCATCTTTCTTTCTCCCTATCTATCTATCTAATCTGTCTATCTATCTACCTACCTAATGGCATATGATTCAGCCTTAAAAAAGAAGGAAATGGATGAACCTAGAGGGCGTTAGGCTAAGTAAAATAAACCAGACAAAGACAAATACCGCATAGTATAACTTATATGCGGAATCTAAAAAAGAAAAAAAAAGTAATCTCGGTGGTTGCCAGGGGCTGGGAGGAGGGGTGGGGAAAATAGGGAGAGGTTGGTCAAAGGGTACAAACTTTTAGTTATAAGATGAATGAAGTCTGAGGATCTAATGTATAACATGAAGACTATAGTTGATAACACTATATTATATAATTGAAATTTGCTAGGGGAGTAGAAATTAAGTGTTTTTATCAAAAAAAAGGTAATGGATGTGTTAATTAACTAAATTGTGGGAATCCTTTCACAAGGCATATGTACATCAAATCCTCATATTGTACACTTTAAATATATTACAATTTTATTGGTCAATTATACTTCAATAAAACTGGGGGAAAAAAGTATCCCCATTAGACCGAGAGTTCTGTGAGCAGTGGGGCCAAACGGAGCTCCAGGCCCTAGTATGGGGCATATCTTAGAGCAGACACTCCAGGAAGGTTTAGTTGATGGAATTAGAAGGACTCTCTGAAGAAGTGCTGCCCTTGATCTGCTTTAGAGGAGCTGTCTGGAAAGAGGGCAAAGCAGGCAGGGCATGAAAACTAGGACTGCTGGTTCCAGAGCCACTGTGTCATCCACTTCCAAGTGCTGCGCTTCAGGGGCTGCCATTTGCAGCTTGGGTGGCATACATAGCCCCCAAGCCTTGGACGGTACCTCTGGGGACCCTGCTGGGAATACAGCTTGGCCCCGGCTGGCCACAGGAAAATTGCTGTCCGCAACCCGTGGTCACCTACCTCTTTGGGCCCCATGTGGGAGTGTTGTTTGTGGGTCTTTGTTTTTGTTATCAGCACTGTTTACTTTTTGCCAGTCAATTTACTTTCCTTTTAGAATGTTATCTTCTAGCTTACTTTACTATTTAAAATTATTTTTTCTACCTTTTTATTTTTAAATTGTTTTGATGAAGGCTGGGCAATGTTAGCACGAGGGATAGAACTCTGAGAAGAACTCCTGGTCTAGACCAGAGAGGCAGGAAGGCCTTGGTGGAACCCTCATTTTGACCTCAGGGCACCCCTTGACCACCAAATCATTCTACTGGGCTACAATTTGAGCTGCCAGTCTTGGACAATTCTCCTCTGGCAGCTCAAGGAAATTGCTAGATGATGCTGACACCTAATGACTGGAGCCACCCAACAAAGGCTTCACTAGGGGACACATCAATGACAACTGACCACAGTAATGTGGAGAAGACAGTGAGTGGGAAGCCAGCCCCAAAGGGGCTTCTTAGGGTTGTTCCTCACCGGAGACCCCTGGGAGGGTAATCCCTGATATGATTATAGAAATCCCTTGGACAGAAACCAGGCCCCAGGAGCACCCTTAGCTGTGTAGTCAGGACCCACTCAGGCAAGGATCCCTCAGGAATCCCCACTCCTTCTGAGGCCATGCAGGATGCTGCCTGAGACTAGCATTCTTCAGGTAGAGGCGGCAGCCACCTTGGGAATTGCTGTAAGCCCAGAGCCTCTAAGAGGTAGGTCCTGTCTGAACACACACACACACACACACACACACATCCCTGCATAAGTGTTCCATATAGCAGGAGCTGGCTGATGAAGGGGCAGCCTCCTGTAGTCCCTAAAGGGTCCTTGACTTCCTGCAAGGCCTTCATGACACTCACATTCTCAGCAGCCAAATTCCTCACTCCACATCGCTGTCTAATTGCAGCCTGGAAGGCTGACTTCCCTGCCCAGCCTCCCCCATGACCACACAGCATGAAAAAATGTAGAGTGGGGACTTGAACTCAGATCCCTACCTTCTGTGTAAGTGAGTGCTGCTGGCCAGGCACCCACCGATGTTCTATTCTGGAACAGATGTTTCTCCCATCTGAAGTGAGGTGCCACTTAAAAGGGATGACCTTCACAGCCAATGGCAATGTGGAACGAGATGCAAAGGGCACAAGAGATGGGCTGCGTTGATAAGTATTTGTCTGTTATGGAAAGAAAGGCATCATCATTTCTGTGAGCTCCAAGGAAACACTCTCCGCCCCTCTGCTGACCATCTCTCGTGAGGCTCTACTACCTCACAAGATTAATTTGCACACCAAGCTGCAAGGCACTCATCTTGCTATGACAACCTCTATCTGCCATATCGCAATATACGGAATGCTCAAATTTGGCCAAATCATGTACACCACTCCACACAGTTTGCATTATTCTGGCAGAGTTTTCTCTTTTTAAATGCAAGTTTCAGAAGGTTATAAGAACAGCCAGGCCTGCAGTTGGGACATAAAGACCTAGCTGGAACTTCTACGTTCTCTAAACTGGTAAAGGATGAACAGTGTTGGGAGCAGGGTGTCCCTCCTGAGAGCCTGCGATGAATCTTGATCCCAACTGAGAGAAGGACACTGGGAAGAAATCTGGACCACCTTCCTTTTGAGTGAGGGTCAGGGAAACATTTTACCTGCTAGGGGTTGAGATCAGGAAAGGGGTATAACTGGGTAGATTAACTCACAAACTGCAAGGTAATTGCTGAGGGGCTCAGCTTGAGGACTTGCAAACAGTCCACAGAGCTCCCTAACCACGCAGGGGCAGAGCATGGCAGCATTCTGCAGGCCTGGATTGCCAGGTGGTGAAAGACGGTGGAGGAGTTAGGTGGCTGGAACTTAATCCCAGGAGCAAGCACTCCGTCGAAAGCAGCGTGATTTACGGTTCTCTTGAGAGACCTGCGACCTCTGGGCCCAGTGCATCTTGCTTCTCAGAGCTCAGACAACAAAATGTGCCCGAGATATAGAGTGGAGGCTGTTACCCCTTTGCCCGCTAGAACCCCACTCTGCTGTGTCAATTTGGGCAGTGTCAAGGCCAGACCATTTGGCCTGGTAGCAGTGTGGTTTCTGTAAAGGTCTTCCTGGGCAGCAGATGATAACAAAAGGGAATGGATTCTGGAGAGGAAGAATGTGGCAGACTCTACAAGGTGATAAGTGGAGAGACGTGCTTGTGAGCACTAATAAGAACTCCTTTGGGGATTCCCAGAGACACTCGAGGGCTGTATTAGTCAATTTGGGCTGCTGTAACAAAATATCACTGACTGGGTGGCTGAAACGATAAGCATTTCTCACAGTTCTAGAGCCGGCAAGTCCAAGATGAAACTGTCGGCAGATTCAATTCCTGGGGAGAGCCTCTTCCTGGCTTGCAGACAGCTGCCTTCTTGCTGTGTCCTCACATGGTGGAGAGACAGAGAGAGAGAGCTCTGGTCCCCTCCTTTTCTTATAAGGGCACCAAGCCCATCATGAAGGTTCAGCTCTCACGACCTCATCTAACCTAATCACCTCCCAAAGGCCCCACCTCCGAACACCATCACTTTGGGGGCTAGAACTTCCACATGTGGTTCTGAGGGGGACACAGACATTGAGTCCATAACAGGCGGTGAGGCGGGCACCTAAGTCCTCTGGCTTGTTAATGTTCTTGGGATCCTGTATCCGCAGGCAGGTGAGGCTCTGAATCTGCAGGTTACAGGGTGACGGGAAGTCTGTAAGGAGGACATGTTGAGGTGCAAAGCCACCATGCCGCCCCCACTCAGGCCCTGTAAAGAAGAACACTCAGTCAATCTCAGGATGTTGGGGTTTTCTAGATTTCCAGTCCCTGCTGCTTCTTCACTTAGGCACTATATTTATTCAGAGCGCTAAAAATGGCTAAAAACGGCGGCTTTGTTCTGTGCCAGTTGAATGAAACTGGAGTGTCAATGCCTGGAATTCCCTTCCCTGTATGGTTCAGGGTTAGTGGGAGCCACGTAAGAATTGGATGGTTTTTGGAAGACAGAAGTGAAGTAGAAGCCAGTGCTGTGGGTGCACCCAGTGCCCCTGACCTGCTGTCTCCTCTTGCTGACATGGGGCAGCCCCTGGCCCTGCAGCTGCCCCTACTCCTGCCAAATCTTCTCCTCCAGCCTGTCAAGTATGCGCACAGTTCTTGGTGAGGGGCGCCAGCTTCCCTTGCAGGTCACCCATGGTATCGAGGTGGGAGGCAGTCAGAGATCGATGGGGTGCCAGTTTGTTCTTGCTCTTGTCCACGTCTCATTTCCCCACTGACTATTGGTCTGGGTGACTTCAGGCTCAATACCTGATCAGAGACCCCACTACCAGCCCCAACAGGGCAGTGGGTCCCATCCCTACGATAACCCTCTCATTCTATGTCACCTTGACCACGCTGCTTCTCGAAAGGAACCCTGACTGGTGCGGAGACATCCCAAAAGAAAGAGGTTAGAAGCCAGGAGAGTGGATGGTGGGCAGACAGAAACATATCAAAAGACAGCATCCCCCAAGGAGCAAAATCACTTTGCATTTAAGGCTGATGTCTTGAGAGATGTACACATTGTAAAATGATCACCAATGCCGGATTGTATACTTGAATGCCCTCTGAAAAGCCCAACCCGCAGGAAAGACAGCTTTTCTCTTTGCTTCTTCAAGATGTGCTGAAGATTGTTAGGGGATCTTGCACTTCCCTGTAGTGTCAAGTCCTGGAGCCCGGGGTGGGGCCGGTGTTGTAACCGCAGCCCAGCAGCCAGCTGGAGCAGGTGGGCTTAAGTCAGGAGACCACGCGTTGAATTCTAATCCTTCTTTGTTCTTCTTCATTACAAGACCTTAAACATATCCTGTCCCTAATTTAGGCCTCAATTTCTCCATCTGCACAATGGCTTGTTTGGATATACTGGTGACTTTCTAATACTTTTATAATAAGAAAGATATCTTGCATCAAGACCTAATGCAAGTACACGTACAAATCAGTATAAACTGCAACAAAAGTTTCATGAACCAATACTCACCATGACTATATAAGATGCTGCTGTAGACTGAATATTTGTGTCCCTCTAAAATGTATATGCTGAAACCTAATCCCCAATGTGATGGTATTAAGAGGTGAGGCCTTTGGGAGGCATCAGGTCGTGAGGGTGGAGCCCTCCTGAACGGGATTAGTGTCCTTATAAAAGAGACCCCAGGGAGCTTTCCTAGCCCTTCCTACCACGCGAGGACGCAGCAGGAAGATGGCTGTCTGTGAACCAGGAAGCGGGCTCTCACCTGACAGTGAATCTGCTGGCGCCGTGATCTTGGATTTCCAGTCTCCAGAACTGCGAGAAAGAAACGTGTGTTGTTTAAGCTCCCAGTCTATGGTATTCTGTTACAGCAGCCCAAATAGACTAAGAAATTGGTACTGAGAAGTGGGGAGGTGCTGTAACAAATACCTAAAACTGTGGACGTGGCTTTGGAACTAGTAATGGCTAGAGGCTAGAAGAGTTTGGGGTGCATGCTAGCAAAAGCCTACACTGCCATGAATGGGCCTTGAAAGGTGATCCTGGGGAGAGCTCAGAGAGGAAAGAGGAGAGCTGTAGGAAAGCCTCAGTCTTCTTAGAGACTACCTAATAATCCTCAGTAGAATATTGGTAGAAACATGGCCATTCTGATGAGGTATCAGATGGAAATGAGGAACATGTTATTAGAAATTGGAGGAAAGGTGATCCTTAATTATAAAGTGGCAAAGAAGTTGGCCGAATTGTGTTCATGTTCTAGTGTTTTGTGGAGAGTGGAACTTGCAAGTGACGAAATTAGATATTTAGCTGAAGTAATTTCTAAGCAAAGCGTTGAAGGTGTGGCTTGGCTCCTCCTGACTGCTTATAATAAAATGTGAGAAGAGAGAAATGACTTAAAGATGAAATTGTTATGCAAAAAGGAGGCAGAACTCAAAGATTTGGAAAATCCTCAGCCTATTCATATTGCAAAACATGAGAACACAAAGGGTGTGGTCAAGGGACAGTTTGATAAGGAGAGTAGTATGGATGTAAACTAGGCCTTATGTATCTCAACAGAGATGGGATTAGAGCAACAGAAACACTGCCAGCTGGGACTAAAGGAAACAGAGAAAATGGGACAAAACGAAGGAAGAATTTGGACTTCTTAGACCTACAGGACTGGACCATGATGCTATTCTGCTGCAAACATGGACTATTCTTCAAAGCAAGGGGAGAAGGCCCCCGGAGGTGATTCAGAGATCATCAGGGCTGCCACTCCCACCACAGGCTCAGAGTGTACGGGCCAGGAAGCTTGATTGCCTCCACCTAGGTTTCAAAGGACAGAGTGGCCAAGTAGAGCCACCAGTTTGGGACTCCAGACCAGGAGAGCCTCAGAGCACCAGCAGAGAGCCACCACGGGGGCAGGGCCCAGGCAGAGAGCTACTGTGGGCCATCCTGCCAAGCTGTGGGGGTGCTGTTGCCAGCCCAGTGGGCCTGAAAGGCAGACCATCAAGCCAAAGATGATTATTCTGGAGCCTTAAAGGTTAATGTTGTTTGCCCTGCTAGGTTTGGGGCTTACTTGGGACCCATTTACTTGACAAGAGATTTTTTTTTTTGAGGAAGATTATCCCTGAGCTAACATCTGCCAATCCTTGTCTTTTTGCTGAGAAAGACTGGCCCTGAGCTAACATCTGTGTCCATCTTCCTCTATTTTATATGTGGGACGCCTGCCACAGCATGGCTTGCCAAGTGGTGCCATGTCTGCACCCAGGATCCGAACTGGCGAACTCTGGGCCACTGAAGTGGAACGTGCGAAGTTAACCACTGCACCACTGGGCCGGCCTCAAAATTTTTACATATTGGGGTATATGGGGTAGCTATTGTGGTTGAAAACGGATTCGGCTTGAACTAAAGAAGCCTGACTTATGGCCTATCAAACATACATTGTACATCTGCTTTAACCATTAAAGTAAAGAATGCACCCTCTTAAGATAAGAATGCAGACTTCCCCTCTTACACCAGTATCGATAGCACCCTATCAGTAATGTCCATATTAGTCCCTTTCCAGACATCAGGGTCATGTTGACCTGCTAACTTGCAATTGAATATCTCTTTGGAACTTTGATGACTATGTATCCTGGGCATGTTTAATGCATGTTCTTTGTTCTAAAAAGGTATAAAACTGAACTGAAAACCATGCTTCTCCCAAACACTTTCTTCCTTTGTGGAAACTGCCTCCCCGGGTTATAATCCTCACTCTGGCTCAAGTAAAACTTACCTTACCCCTCTTATCTATAGAATGGTTATTGGTTATTTTGCATCGACATATCCCTTTTTGCTTTCCTATTTCTCTTTTCTGGAATGAGACTGTCTACCCCATGTCAGTCCCACCTTGGCATTTTGGAAGCACAGAACTTACTTGGTTTCATGGGTTTGAAGCTGGAGAGGAACACTGCCTCAGGATGACTCGTGCTTTGAGTCTCACTCATAGGGGATTTAGATGAGACTTTGGAACTAGACTTTAGAGTTGGTGCTGGAATGAGTTAAGACTTTTGGGGCTATTGGATGGAACGAATGTATTTTGCATGTAAGAAAGACATGAATTTTGGGAGGCTAGGGGCAGAATGCTATAGAGTGAACATTTGTGCCCCCTCCCCAAATTCATATGTTGAAATTCTAACCCCCAACGTGATGGTATTAGGAGGTGTGGCCTTTGGGAGGTGATTAGGTCATGAGGGTGAGGTCCCCACGAGTGGGAGTAGTGCTCTTACAAAAGAGATCCCACAGAGCTCCCTGGACCTTTCCACCATGGAGGACACAGCTAGAACGTGGCAATCTATGAATCTTACCAGACACCAAATCTGTTGGTGTCTTGATCTTGGACGTCCTAGCTTTAAGAACTGTGAGACATAAATGCTTGCTGTTTGAGCCACCCAATCTACAGTATTTTTGTTATAACAGCCAAAATGGACTAAGACAATGCACTTAGATATTTTCTACTATCTCCTTTTTATTCTGTTTCATGTTTCCAAATATATGATGGTGGAGACTTGTTAACTTGATTTTAGGACAACCACGTGTGTGTCATGAGTTGCAGTTTGAACACTTTAGATGCTTCCAGTGTATCCAGGTAGCCCCTAAGCTCCAGGACACCATGGGGGTTTTAGAGGCCCATGCTGGCAGCCTACCTCTAAAGTGGCTTCCTCTGAATGGGGACCCCTGGAGGGGTTGTGCTTCCCCCTTGATGGGAAGGCAAAGACATTCGCTCTCTCTCCACCTAGGAGGGAGGAGCTCAAGACCCTAAAGCAGAACCCTCCTGGCTGGTCCTAACTGCCACAGCACCTAGCACTGCAGAGCCCAGGAAGCCAGGGCTCCCCAGGGAGGTCAGTGACAGTGCTCACTTTTGGTCATTGCTTACGATTGCTATGACAGGGCAGGTGCTGGCAGCAAGGGGCAATGAGCTGGGATGACGACCCCTGGGGATAGAGCATCACTTTGACCCAGAAAAATGCTAGACACTGGGCTCTGGGGTTCAATGTCCCTCCTAGCTGAGAACCTGACTTGGGCCTTCCTAGTTGGAGAGGCAGGAGGGCAATTACAGAGGTTTCAAGTGGTCGAATAAGCCAGCAAGGCCTGATCTCAGCCAATATGGCATGGGAGATGTGATGGTCAGTTGTATGTGTCACCTTGGCCAGACTTTAGTACCCAGTTATTCAATCAAACACTAATCTGAGTATTGCTGTAAAGGTATTTGCAATTGTGGTAAATATCTGCAATCAGTTGACTTTAAGTAAAGAAGACTACTAATGCTCAGAAATGTGGGCGGGCCTCATCCAATTGTTGAAGGCCTTCAGAGCAAATGCTGAAGTTTCCTAGAGAAGAAGAAATTCTGCCTCCACACCGCAGCACCAACCCGTCTGAGTCTCCAGCCTGCCAGCCTGCCCTATAGATTTCGGACTTGCAAGGCCCCACAATTGTGTGAACCAGTTCCTTAAAATCAATCAGTCTACCTATCATCTATCTATCTTTTTTATCACCTATCTATCTATCCATCTATCTATCTATGTTTCTTTCTTTCTTTCATCTATTTTTCTGACTATTCATCTGTCCATCCATCCATCCATCCATCCATCCATCCGTCCACCCATCTATCTATCCATCTCTGTCTATTTAATCTCCTATTAGTTCTGCTTCTCTGGAGAACCCTGACTGAGCCAGGGCACTCCTAGAGCACTGATTAGAACCCCTCGACCACAGCTTCACAGCTTTTGTCAACCACGGTTCTGACCAGAATTATAATGTGGTTAATATTTACCTGCGCTGTTCAGACCTGCGGCTCACTTCCCGGTGGCCAGGGGGTAGCTGTGGAAGATGTCAAGTGAGGCTTGGAGGCAGTTTGAGGGGGCTTCCCTTTCAGGAGCAGGAGCTCCTTCACCTGAGGTCTCCCTGGCAGGAAAGCACCCTGAAATGGCAATAAGGGACAGCAAAAAGTTCAGGACTGGGTGACATCAGACAAGTCCCTTCTTCTTTCCAAACCTTGGCCTGTTTGTGTGGATGGAGAAATAGTCACCATTCTGGCTACCTTTGGGACTTGGTGGTAGCAATCAGAATCAGAAATGAGATGACAAGTGGGAAAGCACTTTGGAAGAGGGTGGAGCATCTATCCACATGAGACACTCTTACTGATGGGGGCCCAGGGCGGCATAATGACTTCCACGGACCCTGGGCACTTTTGCCTTTGTGGGCCCTTCCTCAACGAAAAAATAAACAACAATTATATTTTATGATTGTGTTGGTATAAAGATGAATACATTAATTCACATTAATGTGTATTAATTTACATTAATAGTGTACTATGTTAAAATATTTTCTTTGATCTAAAATCAAAATAAAATAAATTAAGATGTTTTATGAGCCCCTAAAAGTCTCATGGCCCTAGTGCCTCCTGTGCCTAAGGAAGTGGTCCCTAAGGGAGTCTGGCGCTCACTTGCCCACAGCCCTGAGACCTGTGCCAGCCCTAGGAGGAGGTTGGAGAATGTCCGGGCCACAGAGGAGAAAACTTCTCCGCTGGAATAGCTGAGTCAGCACAAAGAATAGGGTGGATTGCTTGCTTTTCATCTTTGCCATTAAAAATAAGTCTATTGATGGGACCGACCCACTGGCGCAGCAGTTAAGTTCACATGTTCTGCTTTGGCGGCCCAGGGTTCACCGGTTCAGATCCTGGGTGCGGACATGGCACTGCTTGTCAAGCCATGCTGTGGCAGGCATCCCACATATAAAGTAGAGGAAGATGGGCACGGATGTCAGCTCAGGGCCAGTCTTCCTTAGCAAAAAGAGGAGAATTGGTGGCAGATGCTAGCTCAGGGCTGATCTTCCTCAAAAAGAAAAAAAGGTCTATTGAAAAAAGATACAGTCTTGTAATTTAGATGACCAATGATGTGGGAAAGAACAATGTCCATGAGAAAAAGCAGCCCTGCTTTTGTGTTATCTACAATGATTGTGATCATAGCTAAGCTTATTAAGCACTTTTATAAGCTACACATCGGGCTAAGCCTCACTCCTTTCATCTTCACATGAAACCCATTTAGAGACCAAAATGTTGAGGCTCCAGGCTGGTGGGGGGATGGGGGAGTCAGAGGGAATGAAGAGCAGAAAGCAGAAGGGATCAGAGGGGGAAAGGGTTCTCCTGTGTTCTCAAGATTTGCCCTTCCAGAACCACCTCTATGATAGCTTCATCAACTTGGAACAACAGTACAGAACCTGATCCAAAAGTTAACACCTTCATTAACGCTTTTGCGCACTTGCCACCTTCCCAAAGGGAGAGAGCCAAGGTAGGGCTTGGTGCTCTGAGAGAAAACCGCTTCTGGCTCCAGGTAGAGAGGCCCCAAGGGCTAGTGGCTCTCTGATGGGCCTGATGCTGCAGAGGGACCAGAGGAAAGCCAAGACCCTTAGGCTGTGTGGCCGGGAGTGGGTCATTTCAGCCCCTGAGGTTGCCCTTTCCTTGTGTGCCACCCTTCACAGGAAGGGGACCTCGTATTGGCTACACACCTACTGTGTGCCAGGGCCTCCCACACACTGTCTCATGGAAGCCCAGCAGTGGGGTGAAGCCATGCCCAGGCCCACCATGCAGACGAGGCAGCAGGCTCCGAGAGCCCAGAAGCACAAGGGGGAGAGAGAGGCACAGACACGGAAATGCTTTGAACCGGCGGGAAGCCTGCACGTGCTTCAGTCCAGCCTTCCATCTGCTGCTTCGGACCCTTGACTGGCCTTCCCATTGCTCTTTCTCCACTTTTTAAAATTGTGGTTAATGTGTGTGTGTGATGAAAGTTGTCATTTAACATTTTTCAGTGTACAATTCAGTGGCGTTAATTACATTAATGAAGTTATGCAACAATCACCACTTTCTATTTCCAGAACATTTTCATCACTCCCCAAAGAAATCTCATATCATCACCAGCAATCTCCATTCTCTCCTCCCCCAGCCCCTGGTACCCACTCATGTGCTTTCTGTCTCTGTGGATTTGCCTCTTCTTGACATTTCATCTAAACGGAATCATACAATACGTGGTCTTTTGTGACTGGCTTCTTCCACTTAGCACGACGTTGTCACAGTTCGTCCACATTGTAGCACATATCTGTACTTCATTCTTTTTTACGGCTGAATAATATTCCATTATATGGACAGATTGCATTTTATTTATCCATTCACCAGTTGGCAGACATTTGAGTTGTTTCCACTGTTTGGCTATTGTGAATAATGCTGCTGTGAACATTTGTTGTCTGAACACCTGCTTTCAGTTCTCTTAGGCGTGTACCCAGGAGTGGAACTGCTAGGTCATATAGTAACTCTATGTTTAACTTTTTGAAGAACCACCACACCGTTTTTCACAGAGTTTGTATCATTTTACACTCCCACAGACAGTGTGCAAGGGTCTCAATTTCTCCACATCCTCACCAACACTTGTTATTTTTTTTTCCTTATCTTAGTGGGTGTGAGGCAGTGTCTCATTGTGGACTGGATTTGCACTTGGCCAATGGCTAGTGATGTTGAGCATCTTTGCACGTTTGTTGGCCCTTCCCATTGTTCTTAAGATGAAATAGGACATCCGTACCAGGGCCTCAAGGGCCTGCCCCCTCCTGTCTGGTGGATTCCCTGTGCCCCACTGCATGCCCCTCTGGCCCTCCGCTTGCACTCTGGGCACCAGCCACACGGCTTCCCTCTTCTCACGTGCCTCTGCCTGCAACGGCCCTCTTCCCCTGGCCCCTACCCCGTGGGTTAACTCCTTGCCCTCCTCCATCTATCCGTCCTGCCCACCAGACCAGGCTGACCCTGTCTGCATGCACAGAGCATCATCGTGCGCCGCTCCCCCAGCACCTCATCAAGTGATGGGCTTCCTGCTTCTTGCCGCGTCCTGATGGCGTGTTCACCACCGTGGCTCCGGCTCCTAGCTGACTGCTGGACAAACAGGATGTTTTGGGTCTGAAGCAGCAGGCAGAAGGCTGGACTGAAGGACTGAAGGACGTGTAGGCTTCCTGCCAAGAGATGGGCACTCCTGCCCAAGGGGCACAGACAGTTCAGTCTCAGGACTGTTCCCACCCCGAGCACCCAGTCCTAGGGCAGCAGCACAGATGAGGCATCCCCAAACGTCTCCCACTGACATCTTTGGAGTTGCCCACCGTCAGCTGCGGTCTGTTATGACTCAGGCCCTTGAGGCAGGATGACTATTGTCAGCAAGTGACTCACGGATGACAAGCGACTCCTCAGCCTTGGCAGCTAGCTGAGCCTGATGACATAGGGGAGAGAGCCCCACAGTGGGAGGCAAGAACCAGAGTTGCAGCCCCAGTCTGCAAGGACTCGCTGTGTGAGCTGGGGCCCTGTCCTCCCCAGTCTGTAGAACACATCAGAACCACCTGTGGAGCCTTCTAAAAATGCAGCTGGCTATCCCCTCTCCCCCGGCCTGCCCACTGGAGAGCCTGATTTAGTAGCTCTGGCATAGGGCCCAGGAAATGTGCATTTTAATCAGCAGCCCCAGTGCCGCGGATGCTCAACCTGGCTTGGGGACTCTGCACAAGCTGCTTTCAGGGCCCTGACCACCATCCCAGACTTACATTCTAGGATTCCAGAATGCCTTCTGTTGCAAACTTTGCTGGGCGAGTTCCAAGAAGTTCCTTAAAGAGCCAGTTTCCTTTCTGTTCCCTGAGTACCTCCTGTGGGCCAAGCCCTGGGGGGTACCCAGCAGTGGGGGCATGCTGACTCAAGCCTGATTGGTTGCTGCCCTAGAGCAGATGCTAGCCTTCTAGGATGAAGAGACTGCCACTTGCAATGCTTCTCCTCTAGGCCATACTCTGTGACAGGGTTTCGAATACCAAGGTACAAACCAAGGGGGTTGGGCAGGCAGGGGGAAATGGCAAAACCCCTCCTGATGGGCACATTGAGAAGCTGGGAGTCGGGACAGGCACTGCTGGGCTTTGAGCAACACACTGGAAAGTGTACAAGGGAGGAGGTGACAGCTTATGGACCTAGACTGGGGAGAGCAAGGGCAGGAGGTACAGGGAAGTGCGAGAAGCCTGGTGGGAGTAGTACTGTGGAAGAAAAAGGAAGGTTCTAGAATATGAGGTAAGAGAAGAGGTCATGGCTGTATCCTGGAGGACCTGGGGTTTTGGGGTGATGGGATGGTGAGGGCAGGGGTAGAGGATGGTGCATGAGCAGCTAAGGAGCCTGATATAGATCCTGTCATCTCTGGGGAACCATGACAGACCTGGGATCAGGGGCTACCATGGCAGAGCTTTGGGAGCTTGAGGCTGCAGCACTGGGGAGGGTCTGGGGATGGGGGGGCACCTCTTGCCCCTGAACTCAGAGTCTCTCCTCTTTGGGTTGCCCCTCACTCAGCAGTATGCACCCGCAGGCATTGCCTCCCCATTTGGGATGGTCCTAATGGCGTAAGGCCTGAGCTGGAGCTTCTAGCAAGGCTGCTCTCCCATCTGCTGGGTTTCTGTTGAGAGCAGGAAAGAGGCCCATTCTTTGCTAGGGCTGTGTGCCCAGAGGGGGAGCTAGCACAACTCCAAGGTGGTTAGTGTCAGGGCTCTGGATTCCCAGCCTATCTCTACTCCCTGCACCACCTTGGTTAAGCCGTCCATCCTCTCTAAGGCTCAGTCTGCTCCCTGGGGAAATGAGGATACAGTTACACCTGCCTTAGGATTCCAATGACCTTAAATGTGAGACAGTACAGAAACCCTTGGCAATGGGGCATCTCACACGGGTGACTCTGTAGCACTCTTCTTGTTCTTCACGGCAGAGGACAAACCCCACTAGACCTGCTGACTGGGTGGCCGAAGCTGAACTGCAGAGCTGGTGCCAAGGGGGCACACAGAAGACCAGAGAACACCAAAGAGAACTTTGTTGCTTGGGACAGAAGACAAGGGGAGAGACAGAAGGGGATCCCTGGGGGGAGTGACAAAGCTGATGCCTGGGGAGGGGTGGGCATTTGCCCAATCTGGGTTCCCTCTGCTGAGTAACCTGTGCCTGCCTGGCCTTGGCCTGCTCTCAGGAACCTTGCAGCTGCTAAACACTGCTTCCTCCTCTTGATGGAAAGTTGAGTTGTGGGCTGGAATCCAAGGGTGTGGCCACTATGGACTGGGTGAGAGGAGGTGCAAGGATGAGTATCCCCAGGGAGGAAGGGAGAGTTGGGCCAAGCCCTGGACCCCCAGGCTCAGGCTCCAACAGAGACTTTGCCCCCAGCTAGCTGGCCTCACGGGGGGCTGATTTCTAGGCAGAGGCCAGAATGTTAGGCCAGGGCAGCTGTAGCAGGTAGAGAGGAGGGGAACAGTTGTCAGAGGTCCTCAGGCTGTCCAGACCCCGGTTAAGGCCACCTCCCCTCCCCTCACCAGCAGGCCACCACCTAGCAGCACCTTCTGCTCTTCTCTGTCTCTGATTTATGATCCATACCCAGGGCCACCAGTGGCTCCAGGCCCTTGCCTGCAGGCTCCCTGAATGTCCCCCAGCGAATTCTTCCAAGCTAAGTGTGGACTAAGTCATCTCCTGTCAGAATCCTCCACGGCCCCCCGGCCCCAGGAAGAGTCTTGGTTCCTTGGGTAGATCCAAAATTCAGGCTTCGGGACCCCCTCCCCCATGGCTCACCGCTGAGAATTTCTGCAGGAGCCACATCTAATAAGCCTTGTCTCCTGGAAACAGGAGCACCTGCCTCTTCTTCCTCCTCTCACAGGGCCCCACCCTCTTGCTGAGTCTCAGTCCCCTGGGCCACAGATCTCACCAGCTGACCTTCCGCTCCTGAGTCCCCCCCTGCGTAGCCACCATCTCCCCCTCTCCTGCCCTGGCTTATCACCTGCTGGGCCAAAGCCAACAGTTGCTTCCCTAGGCTGGTATGGAGGAGACTGGACATGATGGTTAATTACATGAGTTAGCTTGGCTAGGCCATGGTGCCCAGGTGTTTGGTCAAACACCAGTCTAGATGTTGCTATGAAAGGAAGTTTCAGATTGATGAACACTTACAGTCAGTAGACTCTGAGTAAAGCAAATTGTCTTCCATAACATGGGTGGGCCTCATCCAATCAAATGAAGGCCTTAACAGCAAAGACTGAGATTCCCCAAAGAAAGGACTCTGCCCCCCGACTGCAGCATAGGAACCCGGCCTGAGTTTCTAGCCTTTGGACTCGAGACTGCAACACCAGCTCGCGCCGGAATCTGCAGCCTGCTGGCCTGCCCTGCTGATTTCAGCCTTGCCGGCCTCCATAATCGCATGAGCCAATTCCTTAAAAGAAATCTCCCTCTGTCTCTCTTTGTCTCTGTCTCTGCCTCTCTCTCCCCCTGACTAATACAGCAACAAGTGAGTGAAGTGTGGTGGCTGGGCTGGTGTGTGGCGGCACCCATTACCCCTGAGTGTGATGAGCCTAGTCTGCATCCAGGCCACCCCACCCACATTGGTCCCAAGTCCGTTTCCCACACAGCTGGTGCAGGCCACATGCACATGGTCTAGAGAGGCCACGGACCCATGGTGAGGAGGGCTGGGTTCTACCGCAGCTCTGCCACCAGCTGGGTGACCCTGGGTGAAGTCGTGAAGTCTTTCCCCTCACTGGGCCGCAGTGTCCCCTGTTTCAACAGTAGAGCCGGATGAGAGTGGTTGTTTCTAAGTGTTTTCCACAGCAGATTGCTTTGGGGACTCTTATATAGTAGGTCAACCTTGAAAGCTGTCCAAGCAGGGCCTCTTTGGCTTCTGTGGAGTGTAGGGAGCTGCAGAGAGCTCCCCTGCACCCATCCCTCGTTCTTGCCTTAACCTTGGACATTGACCTCCAAAGTCTTGCTGCCCCTGCCTGCTCCAATGTCTGCAGACTGTCCTTGCCGTGCTTTTGGGTGGAATCTATTTCCCCATGGCCTTGCCTAGCTTGATGTGCCTCTGGGCTGATGGAGGGGAGCTCATTACTGCTTGTGACTCATAAAAGTCTAAAATCAGCAGACAAAAGCTCCTTTCAGAGCTCCCTTTGAAACCCAGGCTCTCGTTATATGACAAAGATACTTAGAGGACTGGGACAAGTGCAACCACATATAAGGCAAAAAACTGGGGCCTTGTCTTCCAGGGGAAGTGGCAGCTGGAGCCCCCTTCGGAGCCCTCACACTCAGGCCCTGCTCTTTACTGAGTGGCCTGGGTAGGTATCCCTGTTCTAAGGCAGCCCTACTCCACCGACAGGCCCAGTGAAAGGCAAGGAGCCCAGATGTCCACCCTTAAGGATCGATGTGGCCAGGAAGCTGGATATTGTTAATTTTCTAGGCAACTATCAGCTCTCCCGGGGATTGGCACACAGAAGCCCTGAGCATCCCCAAAAGGCCAAGGGCAGCTGACCTGAGAGTTCAGAAAGGTAGCTTTGGCCTCCGTTTCCCTTCATCCTTGGGTAAAGGAACACACTTCACATAACGTGTCTAGACAACACAAGAGGAACTGGTAAACTTGGTGAAAATATGATTTTGACCTGGGCCTTACTCAAGATGATACCATGCCAGACATTATTCCGCCTGCACAAAGAAAACCTCCCTGCATACACCCTTCTGCCATCGCTGCCTCTGCAGGGGCCTCTGAAGGCTTTGGAATAAAGAGCAAGTGAGGAGCTGCCAATAATGTAATCAAAATTTCAAACGTATATGAAAAGAGGCGGTCAGGGCTTGCTCTGAAGGTCAGGGGAAACTTCTGTTGTTTGGCCTTCCCTAACCACCTGGGTACACCACCAAATGCTAGTGGTTATTGTTATCAGTAGGCTCCCAAATGGAATCTCAGGCACCAGTCTGACTGGACCAATAGGGATGAGAACTGTCATTTTCAGAGCCGAGCTGGTACAAAGGCAGCCCAGGAGCCCTTGGTTCTTTGACAGCTCTGACTTGCCACCTGTTGCCTGTGACCTGGCCCTCCTAGACTTTCATCCCCCCTGCAAGGGACACCCAGGACATCAGTGGCCTGTGAGACCATGGCTGTGGGTGTAACTCTTGAAGCCAGGGCCTGGACCCCCCTTCTTGGCACTTCCTGCTGCACACTGAGCTGCTGGTCTCAGGCAAACAGGACAGGAGTGGGGTCAAGCAAGGGTCCCTGGATAGCATCTTTCTGCTATCACGACACCTTGGACTGGAACTGTGGCAAAGCAAAGCAGGAGTCAGGAGTTGGAGGTACATGACAGGAGGTGTGAGCATGGGCTACTGCCAACCACTGTCATTGAGCTGGTGTGGCGCTTGACCTATCCTTTGTCTTGCTGGGACCTGCCACTACCACCAGTGGCTTCCTGGGAGGTGGCCTGGGATCAGGGACTCTGCACCCAAATCAAACCTCCCCAGAAGGCTGGAATTTCCTCTCAGGAGAGAGGGAAAAGATCTTTGGGACAAGAGAGGGCCCGTCCTTCTTCTACCTCCTCCACAGCACCCCTCCCTCCAGGCCAAGAGCACTACCCTGCCAGCACTGTTCTGGCTTAAAGAGTGCTTACCCAGCATGTATGGCTCAACTCTGACCTGCACAGCTACCCCGGAGAAGGGTTATCATCCCATTTGAAGAGGAGGAAGCCAAGGCCCAGAGAGGAGAAGAGCCGCTTCGAGAACCCAAGACAACAGATTTGTCAACCAGTCCAGGCCTGGCGGAAGATTCGAGGTTGAGCATCCCCAGAAGGGGCCAGTCCCAGGCCAGGTCACTTTCCACTCCTGGGGACCCTGAATGACTACACAGTGATTGCAATGCCTCCTTTTCTGACTTAGTCGGCCATCTCACAGCAACCACTGGCCAGGTGTCTTAGTCCGCTCGGCTGTCATGGTGGCTTAAATGATAGACATTTATTTCTCACAGTTCTAGAGGCTGGAAGTCCAAAATCAAGGTATTAGCAGATCTGGTTCCTGGCGAGGGCCCGCTTCCTGGCTTGTAGCCGCCATCTTCTCGCTGTGTGCTCACTTGGCCTTTCCTCAAAGCATGCCTGTGGAGAAAGAGGAAGCACCGGTATCTCTTCTTATGAGGGCACTAATCCAATCATGAGGGCCCCACCCTCACGACCTCATCTAACCCTAATTACCTCCCAAAGGATCCGTCTCCAAATACCATCACTTTGGAGGGTAGGGCTTCAACATGTGAATTTGGGAGGACACAAACATTCAGCCCGCATCGGCCAGGGAGAGTGGAGATGAAGGTAAGTCACCACTCATAGCTGGTAAATTTCCTCTCCTCAAACACAAATTACCCCAAGGCCCCAGGCAAGCAGAAGGGGATGGAGGAGCTCGGGCAGGAGAATCTGAGAGCTCCTCACCTGATGCGCCTTTTCCTTTCTGCTCTGGTGCCGGGCAAGTTTGTTTTTATTAACTGAATTATTGTTAATTCACAGGCTTCATATGCCAACTTCACCTTCCAAAGCAGTTAAGTACCAAGCCAAGAGCTTGCAGGCACTGAGCAGGCCTGATGGGGGATGGAGCCAGCCATGCTGCCTCAGCCTTGAGTGAAAGGCAAAGGGGCTCCACCCAGCAAGGCACTGGCCAGCCTCTAGTTGCTCCTTGGGTGCCACTGCCAGGGTCTGGGCCCTTGCATGGTCCATGGGCTCAGGGTCTTGGGAGAGGCATGGCCTCCTGTATGAGTTTCCTGTGGCTGCCATAACAAGTTACCATAAACTCTGTGACATAAAAGAACAGAAATTTATTGTCTCATGGTTCTGGAGGTCAGAAACCCAAAATCTAGGTGTTGGCAGCACTACGCTTTCTTTGAATGTTCTAGAGGACAGTCTTTCCTTGGCTCTTCCAGCTTCTGGTAGTTGCTTGCATCCTTAGCATTCCTTGACTTGTGGCTGCATCACTCCAATTTCTTTCTCCCTCTTCACATGGCCTTCTGTTTTGTTCTGTGTCTTTCTCCTCTTTTGTCTCTTATAAGGACACTTGTCATTGGATTTAGGATCCACCAGGATAATCCAGAATGATCTCATCTCAAGATCCTAAACTTCATTACATCTTCAAGGATCCTTTTTCCAAATAAGGTCGTGTTCACAGGATCTGGAGGTTAGGGCTTAGATATATCTTCTCGTGGGCCACCATTCACCCCACAACATCCATCCCCAACAAGGGATCACAGGTCACTGACTTCCTAGAAGTCCAGATGTCAGGGCAGAGAGGCCATTGACAAGACCAACTGCCACCTTCTCCTTTCAGAACCGAAGTAGCTGAGGCCTCAGGGGAGGAGGCTGTCCTGCCTCAAGGTTCCCTGGCAAGTGACGGACAGAGCAGGGCCTTGTCACCCAGTCGCTAGGCTCCGATTGCCTGGATGAGCCTGTGCACTCAGGCCCAGGCCCAAATCATTTGCACGACATGGGCATTTGCAAGGGGAACAAGTCCTTGGGGTCTCTCGGCACAAGGCAGGGCTGGGCTTTGGGGGTGGTGACTCCATTCTTACATCTTGGTGTGGCATTACGAGACCTTGCTCCCCACAGGCCTCAGGCCCCTCTGCTGGAACAGGAGAGGGCTAGAGGGGGCTCTCCAGGGCTTCTCTGGGGGTTCTCCCAGTTCAACGCTAATGGCTGCCCAGGAGGCCAGGTGGCCCAGTGCTCTTGGCATGGCTGCAGATCAGCTGGGTGGAGGGCAGCCCTCAGATCCACCGGATTCCTGCTGCTATGGCACTGAGAGTGAAAACACTGGCAGCATCCCCTCTGCAATTCCAGCAGGGATGCTCTTGGCTGGCCCGGGACCTGTGGGTCTCTAGGAATGGCCTGTACACCTCACAGTATGCTGAGCCACAGCAGAAAGCCCTAGGGTAGGGATATTCCAGCAGCCTCAAGGCCCAGGCCTGGCTGCTACTTGATCCTCCCCGTCTCCTACAACATTTCTGCTCCATGGCCACCCTGTCCCTTCTGGTATGCCTCCATCGAATGAGACCTCAGTCTCAACCTCCCTCCTTCCCGAAGCAGCCAATACCAACTTCCTGAGAAGTCTTCTACTCTGTTACACCAGGACCTGCACCTCGGTCACTCCTGCCGCCCCCATCCCAGTTCTCAAGGAGACTGCCGACCACATCAGGAGATGCCCTCTCTCCCACGGGCAAATGGCAGTTCTTCTGCAAGCTTCCCTCTGCCAAACGTGCTCTAGTTTGTCAGGGTCCTTATGAGTGTGGGGCCCAGAACTAGCCAGAATATCTGGTTGGTGTCTGGCCAGAGCAGAGCAGAGGGGGAGCTGTACACACCAGACACTGCCAAACACTTGATATCTAGTATCTCATTGAATCCTCCTAACAGCTCTTTGAAGTAGATTCTGTTATTGTTCCCACTGAAACGAGGAAAAAGACTGAGTCTCAGAGGGGTTAAGTAATTTTCCCAAAGTCACAGAGACAATAAGTGGTAGAGTCAAAAATCTAATCAGACAATCTGGTTCCAGAGCCCATGCCTTACACACTAAAATGCAGAAGAGAGAAGCACACTCACCTCCCTTCTGAATACCTTGCCTCTGTTGAAAGAGCCCAAGGCCCTGAGTGTTTATCTGGCCACTTTATTGTGGCACCAACTCAGATCGGGTAGTTGACTACTCTCCTCACCCATCTCCGTGTCTTGCCCTGTGTGTTCCCTGGGTCCTGATTCAGAGTCTCTCTGTCTCCACTGCCCAGGTACTCTCCTCCAACTGAGCCATGCTCCAGCTCATGGAGGTCCTTCCTTCTCCCCCCTCCATGCCCCTGCTGGCCAACGCGATCCCTTAGGAGAGAGAAGTTAGAGCACAGCAGGTGGGCAAAGGGCTGGTACACAGAGCTGTGCGCTGGCAACTGCTATATTGAGAGCAATTCCTGGAAATCAGGAAACAACTATTGAGGCGAAAGGCATCAGAATTAAATCGGCCTTTGAAACAAACAAGTGCATCTCCGCAGGCATCAGCTGTGATTCTGCAAGGCTCCAAGATGAGCCCTAAATGAGATAAAGTATTCCAGCCCAGGTTGGGCTGGGCATGCGGGGGCAGAGTGTTGGACAATCTGTGGGAGCCATTAGCACAATCTTATTTGAATTGCAAGTCATTGAGGGAAACCGGGAGGAGAGCATCTCATCCCGAGGTCCTACCTGTGGCACAGCGCCCAACCTTCCTGCAGGGGCACGAACTGTGTCGTCTGAAAAATGGGGGAAAAGAGACACAGCACTTTCAGTAGAGCCTGAGGCCAGGGGGCTTTCTCCCTCTCAAGAATTCTTCCAGCCCTCGGAGCTGAGATTCCTGGGGTTAGAGTAGTCCGGAAGTGTAACTCCTTTTCCCTGTCCCTGAAATAAGATCATTTTTAGGAAGTACAGACAAATATCAACACCCATGGTGAGAGTCCTTGGGGACTCAAAAAAGTCACAATATACTCCATGAGCTTCGAGCACTCACAGCTGCAGTCACATGACATTTTCCAGCTGAATCCTTGCAATCCAGTGCAATTCAACAAATGTCCCCCATCCCAGTGACGAACAAGGCTGCACTGGGGGCTGCCCGGTGGTGCAGCAGTGAAGTTCGCACGTTCCGCTTTGGTAGCCTGGGGTTCCCCGGTTCGGATCCCGGGTGTGGACATGGCACCGCTTTGCAAGCCATGCTGTCGTAGGTGTCCCACATATAAAGTAGAGGAAGATGGGCATGGATGTTAGCTCAGGGCCAGTCTTCCTCAGCAAAACCAGGAGGATTGATGGCAGATGTTAGTCCAGGGCTAATCTTCCTCCCCCACAAAAACACACAAGAAAACCAGGCTGCAGTGGAGGGAAATAGAGAGGAAAGACTTAGTGCCTACCCCTGGGGAGCTCTCACACGAGGCAATGCCTCCTTCTAATATAACATCCAGCCTGCTAACTGCTAGAGAAGATGTTCTGAGAGTGGGATCAGGAAGTTACAGGAAAACAGGATCATTTCACTTAAAAATCTGGGAAGGCTTCCTGGGAGAGGCATTAGACGACCTGGGCCTTGCAGGATAAGTAGTATTTCAATGGCCAGAGATGGTGATGAGGGCATTCCGGTGGAGGCGAGAGCATGGGCAAGGGCATGGAAGGACATACTTGAAAAACGGCAAGTAGCCCATTTGGCTGGAACCCTGTGTCCTGGGCTGAAAGCGTGGGCAGAGGCAGATCCTGCAGGTGACAGGAAGTCATCAAAGGTGCTGGGGAAGGGAGGTGGCACTAGTGGATGTATGCATAGTCCCATGCAGCTGTTCTCCAAGTGAGATCTGTGGAGCCCTAGAGGTCCCTAAGACACTTTCACAGGGTCTGGGAGGTCAAAACTATTTTCACAACAACGCTAAAACATCTTTGACTTTTCCACTGGGTTGATATTGGCACTGATGGTGAAAAGCAGTGGGGGGTAAAACAGCAGGCGCCTGAGCACGAGCAAGGGCAGTGGCACCAAATTGTACCAGTGGTCACTGGATTCTTCACTGTCATGTGCTTATAGTTAAAAAAACAAAAAGCCAGCTTCACTTAAGAATGTTGTCAGTGGGGACCGGCCCCATGGCCGAGTGGTTAAGTTTGCGCCCTCCGGGTTGGTGGCCAAGGGTTTGGCGGGTTTGGATCCTGGACGCGGACATGGCACCGCTTATCAGGCCATGTTGAGGTGGTGTCGCATATAGCACAACCAGAAGGACCTACTAGAATATACAACTATGTACTGGGGGGCTTTGGGGAGAAAAAGCGAGAAAAGAAAAAGAAAAGAATGGTGTCAGTGAAGCGGTAATAATTAACTTCATCAAATGTTGACCCTTGAGTGCCCATATTTTAAACATTCTATGTGATGAAACGGGAAATATGCTTAAAGCACTCCTGCTGGAAACCGAAGTGCAATGGTTGACTCCAGGCAAAGTGCTCGTGCCATTGTTTTGAGTTGTGAGCTGAACTGGCTGATTTTTCATAGAACATCTTATTTACTTGAAAGAATGACTAACTAATGTTATTCAGATTTGGGTATTTGGCAGACATTTCTCGTAAATGAACAAAGTGAGCCCACTGCTTCA